TGTAGAGCAGGCTGGCCTCGAACTCACAGAGATCTGCCTACCTCTGCCTCCCGGGTGCTGGAGAAAAGGCGTGCGCCACCATGCCCTGTTGTGCTTGCTTGGTTGCTTTTTTTTTTAATTATTATTATTTTTATTTTATGTGCAGTGGTGTTTTGCCTGCAGGAATGTATACGTGAAGGCATCAGATTCTCTGAAGCTGGAGATGCAGGCAGTTGTGAGCTGCCATGTGCTGGGAATTAAACCCAGGTCCTCTAGAAGAGCAGCCAGAGATGGCTGAAGCATCTCGCCAGCCCCATTTAAAAATAATAAAAATAATACATTAGTAGTTTTTCTGTTTTGTTTTCCTGAAATGTAAGAGAAAACATGAAGTATACCAAGCCACACCTGTAACTGGGGCATCTCTATTTCTGGTGTGTTATATATAATTGGTAGACCTCACTTAATTCTGATTCCACAGCTTAGTCTTTTAGCCATCATACTGAAGTTAAACATCTCTCTGGGCTCCAGGAAGGCATATACTCCCTACCTGATGTTCACACAGGTCTTATTACATCTCTGAACAGACTCTTGTTTTTCACCTTATCCTGCCTCTAGACCAGTGGTTCTCAACCTGTGGGTCGAGACCCCTCTGGCAATCCTCTGTGTCCAAACATATTTACCTTATGATTTTTAACGGTAGCAAAGTTACAGTTATGAGGAAGCAATGAAAGTAAGTTTCTGGTTTTTGGGGGAGGGGTCCCCACAACATGAGGAACTGTATTAAAGGGTGGAAGCATCAGCAAGGTTGAGAATCACTGCTCTAGAGCTCCTTCTATCCCTGTCTTTCCCATCTCATTAAATGACCTTTGGATTTTCCTGGGTGCCTGGCAGTCAGCACCCTTCTGCTTTTCTTCATCAAATCCATCAACAGACCCCACAGTTTCTTGCCCTCCAATTCCCACAGCCTCAGACCCAGTAAGATCACCATCCCCTCCAAAGTGCATTATTGTAATACTGGAGTTGATTTCTTTCTTCTGCTTCCTCCCTCTGTTTCCTGTGTGATATGCTTGTTAAATCAACCCCAGAGCAAGATGCGCCACCACCAGTAAGCCCTTAGTCAGCATGAAATAGTATGGCAAATACTTAAGATTAGCAATTCAAGGCTTCCAGTTGGAGGTTTCAGTTGGCAGCCAAGTTACTTCTGTCACTTTTGGGCCTATGGTAAGGAAGTGTGTCACAGCAGAAGCACGTGATAGAGGAAGCTGCTCCCCTCTTGGTGACTGGGACCAGACAGAAAGGCCTGGTGTCCTAATACCCTTCCAAGGTCTTTCCCCATAACCTCACTCCTCCCACTAGCCGCCCCCCTTACAGTCTACCACCTCCTAATAATACCACGAAGGGGTGACCGAGCCTCAACCGCATGGGCCTGGCTGAAGTTCCTTATGGTGTCATTTAAGTCATTCTCTTTATGGTGGTAATTCTAATGTCTCATTTAAGCAGATTTTGCCGTGTTCTCTTTTAAAAGCTCCTGTCCTCTGTATGATGTTCTCATAAGTTCACAATTCACTTGCTCCAATCAGGCAGGAGGACTACAACATGGCTAGCTCAGTCAGTAGAGCATGAGACTCTCAATCTCAGGGTCATGGGTTCGTGCCCCACGTTGGGCGCCACATAATGGGATAATTCCGCGGAGTCTATTTGATGGTCAAAGGAATTCATGCGGTGTGTGTGTGTGTGTGTGTGTGTGTGTGTGTGTGTGTTAACTCACAACAAGAATAAAGGAGTAGGTTGCAGAATTCTGGAGGGGTGGGGCATGGTCCAACACGGTTCTCAAGAGAGCTATGCCTTGATCCACAGCACCAGCATCCAAGGCCATGAGGTAGCGAGGAGAGAGGAGGGCATGTGTGTGCATCCTGGGTCTTAAGGCCACGCCCAAGGGGCCAGTATCTAGCAGCTACCTGCTGCCTCACTAGGGGCAGTACTTCCGGGCCTGGCACAGACAGCCCCCCACTACAGTAGCGTACGGTATTTTGAACAGTGCTGCTACAGATGCTGACACACCTTCTGTGAAATGTCCGAGTTCTGTTTGGTTATATAGGTTGGAGTGTAGCTGCTGACTCAAATGAGAAGTGTGTGTTCCACTTCAGATATATACAGTCAGACACTTTCCAAAGTGATGATACCAACCAGCATGATGGAAGAGTCCTGGTCAGTCCATGCCCCCCGAGATTCAGTCTCTTTCATTGTAAACATTTGGAGGAGGGTGTGGTAACACTGTGGTTTCCAGATGACTAACAGAATTGAGCACTTTTTCTTATTTACTGGCTTGTGGTTTATAAAGAGACATCTGTTTAAGCTTTGCCTATTTTCTTATTTATATGATTCTTGAAGATTCTAAGCACACTTTGTTAACTATGGAGTATTCATTCATACATGCATACATACAGTCTTCTCCCAGTGTAGTTTTTCACTTGGTTAGCATTGGTTAGCAGTGTGTGTGTGTGTGTGTGTGTGTGTGTGTGTGTGTGTGTGTGTGTATGCATATGCACATGCGCATGCTCACTGGGATAGGATATTCCCATGTAGATTAGTCTGGCTGGAATTTACTGTAGTCCAGGCTGGCCTCTAACTCAGACATGTTCTTTCTCCTTCTGTCTCCGGAGATCAGGAATTGTAGACGTGTTCCACCATGCTCAGCAAAGTGGTGTTCTTTTTTCTTTCTTTATTTATGGGTTTTTTTGTTTCATTTCATTTTTTGAGACACAGGTCTCATTATGCAGCCCTGGCCTGAAACCCACTTTGTAGGCCAGACTGGCCTCCAACTCACAGAGACCTGCCTGCTTCTTCCTCCAAGCACTGTGATTAAAGGCATGTGCTGCCACACTCCGCTTACAGTGATTTTTTTCAAGGAAGGAAAATGTTTTCATTTTACTATAACACCAGATATCATTCTTTATAATTAGCAGTTTATGTGTCTTGTTCAAACAGACTTGGCTTACCTCAAGCTCATAAAGCTATTCTATATTCTCTAAAAGCTTAATGTTTAATGACATTTTAATCCATAGCACATACAGAATTTACTCACTTGAAAAAAAAAATTCTCTTCTCCAGTGACAGTGACCGTTTTCCCACCCAGACCATGGAATAACCTCTCTTCAAAACTCAGTGACTTTCTACTGCCCTTGGAGTAAGCTCTGCCTCTCCCCATGCCTCCTTGACCTAAGTCTGTGCCCCAGGACACCACTTGCCTTCTTGCCTGTCCTCTGTCTTCCTAGGATAGTCTCAGGCTTTGCACATGGGTTTCCTTCCGCTGGGCACAGCGGAGCATGCCTGTATTCCCAATCCCTTGAAAGCCGAGGCAGGAAGATGGCGTGTTTGAGGCCAGTCTGGGTTATAAAATAAAACCCTTCTAAAAATGACAACAGAAGTTGCTCTCAGGCCTTTTGGCTAAGATGGAGCGGCTCTTCCTGCTGTCTTAGCGAGATGATGTCATCCACCTTCCCCAGAAGAGACCCCCCTCATCACGGTGTCGAGCATGAGTAAATGGCATACATGTTAAGATGCTCCTGACAGGTGTGATGATGCTAAGGATGGTTCACCACCGTATGTGACCTTCCTTAGAGGGGACGGGTTATATCTTGCTGTTGTACATCATGTTTGTAGCATAAGACACAGGACAAAAATAGGATCCTAAGTGTAGTGCGTGTGTAACCAGTTGTCTTTTGTTTGTCAACACTGATCCCCAGTAAAGAGACCCCAAAACACATGGTTTAAGGGTTTGGATGAACTGTAGCAGAGCATCAGTTTCTTTCACTCTTCCCTTTCTCCTCTTTTTTTTTTTTTTTTTTTTAAAGGAAAGACTTTGAACAAAATTATGGCTTGAAACCTAGAAACTCACCGGCCTGTAAGCGTGGAGCCAGCGCATAAGAACTTAGGAGAGACTGCCATAACTTTGTAAAGCTGGGCCCCGTTTCTGCCTGTCAGTGATGCTCACTGTACTTCGTTTACAGAGTTGCTGTCTTCCCCTCGCATTCTCTAGAGACATAGTGATTCCCAGTGACCTGATTCCTGTTGTTGGAGCTCTTCTGGGATGTGTGTGTAATAGAACTTGTTCTGTGGGCATGAGTTAAATCCACCTTTCCTAAGGGTTACTAGTTCCTTCTTTGTCAAGGAATTGATTTCCACCGTTGATCACATTCATTTTTCCTTCACTTAAAGATTTTTAAGCTAATGCCTGACGTGCAGTTCTTTTTATTAATCATGACATGTCATAAACTTACAGAGCAGAAACAGATTTTTAAGCTCATCTCACCCGGCTTTAAAAGCATTTCTGGATGAGTTGATGAGGTTAGCATACCTTTGGTGGGTGGGTGATTAATTTCTCAAGCTTACCTGTACTGTGGGTATGTGAGAGAATAACCATATTCCTAGGGAAAGCACATGGAAGTGTTTAGCAATAAAGATGGTGTGATTTATACAGTGCATTTCACCTGGTTCAGGAAAATGTTTCTGCATACACACGTGTTCATGTGCAAAGCGAAGCACCAAGGACATACAGACAATATTAACAGGCAGGATTAGGCAAAGAGTGTATTAGTGCTATTTATGCTGTTGTGTGACCTCTGTGTGAACTCACTGCCACATAGTTTATGAAAGTAGCCCTCACCTGTCCCTCTGAAGAGATTGATTACCCCAACACTGGGGTTAAAGTAACTTCCAGGCACCCGGGCAGACAGAATGACTCAGCCTATAGTAGCCTCTTCTACAGCCCGCTTCTTTTTTATAGCAAGTAGTTCCTGCATTCTCCTTGAATCTTGGGCCTAGCCCCCCTGCTGGAGAGCATACCAAGTCTGAATATTTCGTAATAAAATAAGAATAGTTTTAAATAATAAAATACTTTTGCCAGTGCCAGGTCAGCCCTGCAACCTCCAACTTCTCTGTCACTCACAGGCTGTTATTGATGGTGCACGCATGTGACCCTGTCTTAACCCTGGCTGGTTTTTTCTTCCCTTTCCTGACAGCCACTGCTTCTTGGGACACCTTTCTCATGCTATGGAGTTTGAAGCCACACACTAGAGCTTACAGATATGTCGGCCACAAGGACGTCGTGACCAGCGTACAGTTTTCTCCCCAGGGAAACTTACTGGCGTCGGCTTCACGAGACAGAACTGTTAGACTCTGGGTTCCTGATAGGTAAGGAGAAGCAAACACTCGATACGCTTCCGATTGGGACCGTGAGAGGCTCCTGAGGCCTGGCTGCTCCTAATCTGCTTCCTGGGGATGCCTCAGCTCATTAATGGCCTGTGCTCATTGGGGTCACGGAAATACTGCCCTGGTTTTAAACTTGAGCTATTTCATTCAACTCAAAATTAGGTGGTCCTTTTGAAAAACCATTTCTTACCTGGAGATCCATACAATATGTCTGATTTTTTTTGGGGAGGGAGACGGCTTGCAATCTCTTTAAATCTGAAAGAAACACAATGGCATATATCAGAAGATTAATTTATTAGCCTCTTTGTACCCATTCATGGGTTTTTAGGGGCCCTCGGAACCTTGTCAGCACCCCTGTGCTTAGACTATCCTTTAATTGTTATCATTAATTTTGGAGCTCTAGAATTTTCTTGTTTAAAAACTTTCTGACAAAAATGTAAATCATTGCTTGGCAGTGGTGCCACACGCCTTTAATCCCAGCACTCAGGAGGCATAGGCAGGCAGATCTCAGAATTTGAGGCCAGCCTGGTCTACAGATCGAAGACCAGGACAGCCAGGGCTACACAGAGAAACCAAATAAAAAAAAAAAAAAAAAAGATTGTTTTGAGCCCAGAGTGGTTGTTCACCCATTTGATTCCAGCACTTAAGAGGCAGATGGATCTCTGAGTTCAAAGCCAGCCTAGTCTACACAGCAAGTTCCAAGCCTGTCATGGATACATAGTTGAGACCTTGTTTGAATGAAAACAAAAATATCTCAACACAGACAGAGAAGATGGCTCAGAAGTCACGAGCCACTGCTTCGGAGGACAGGACTGTGGTTCCTGACACCCCAACACAGGGCAGCTCCCCATTGCTTTCAACTCCAGCTCCAGGAGTCCAACCCTCTTCTGGCTGAGGACACTTTTATCCAAGTGGAATACACTCATACACACACACAGCGTTTCTTTTGAGACAGAGTTTCTCTACATAGCCCTGGCTGTCCTGGAACTCACTGTATAGACTATTGGCTTTGAACTCAGAGATCCACCTGCCTGTCTCCTGAGTGCTGGGATTAAAGTGTGTGCCACCAT